GTACTTGAGGGAGATCTAAAGTCAATGGCTGTAACCTAAAGAGTATACTGAGGTTATGGAGCATAAAGAAATAAAACAGCTATGAGAGTACTAAAGCATGTAAGAAAGCCCTCCCTAGAGGTGCAATAGGTTAAATCATAGCTATGAGAGTACTATGTGAGATCATATACTTATACAACACAAATAGTCTTAGAAAATGAGGTGGCAGCTTTACCTAATGGCTTTTGTCAAGTTGTGAATCAGAGTGTGTACAAACTGATGACTATACAAATAACTGGGCATCCAACATTAGGCAATTGTCCCACCTCTTGATCTAATTACTCAGAACTCTACCATATGTCTTCACAATCTCAAGTGAATTGAATTTTATTTGTTTCATCTCATTTATTTGCTGAGTTTTAAACACATAAGTTTTAAGGTAAGAGGAAAAGAAGGAACTCACAAATGAGAGTCACAGACATGTGTAAGTGTGTATTTACTAAATTAGTGAAATACCTATATTGAAAGATTGAAAATAAAAACAAAACTATTGTGATGTTGAACACCTCTGCCAATTTCATGCTGTTGCTATGTTTAAAAAACCCACTTCCTTTCTTTAAACCATTATGTGTTTTGCTAAAACCATTGTTATTTCACCTTAAATAAATACTGAATACCCCAATAATTAAAGTACCTCAGTGACAGACTACAGTTGCCTCCGTGGTGAGTGTGGTGAGGGGACATGGGCCTGAAGAGTTGGGGGCCTGTACTTCTGAGACACTACTTGAAACCAATGTTATTTTAACAAAAATATTATTGTAAAAATAGCTTCCAAAGAAACTATGAAATAGAATAGAATATTTGGCATGTTTTCATTCAAACTTGGGCAATATATAAACGCTATGGGAAGATTTGGCAAATTCAGTCCTCATGTACAATGTGGAAGATTCATGGAGGGGCTAGAATGTAATATCACTTTTTGTTGTCATTCATCTTTATTCAAAATTTTATAAGAAAGTCAGTATATTGGTACAATAGGTGGTGTATTATTTATACTTTACAGTTAGTTAGAAGAAGACAAAGCTGCCTAATGGTAGCAGTATTATTTGGTACCAGCCAGTGCAATTAGATTAGATACATGATTAAAACTGTAAAGAAAATGGAAAATTAGTTCAGTATTAACAAAGGGTATGATTCTATATATTTGGAAAACATGCAGTTTCAAAGAAAAAATATAAAGCATCAGTGGATACTGAAAA